AGCAGAAGAGCCCTTGACGGAAACCGCCTTGGGAGCTTTGTTGTAGAGTTGCTTATACATGATTGATGATTAATAGAAATCCTTTTGGTCGCTTGGATGTAGGTTTTGCAAAGTGGAATGGTCCTTCTCGTAAAGATGATACTTGGTCGAATATCAATCAGTACTGAAAGGCAGAGGTGGAAGCCGGTGAATGGAAGGTGGGGCGGTGAAGAAGAAAAAAAAAAAGAAAAAAAAGAAGAAAAGGGTGTGGTTGAGTGCTTTATATGAATCGTACATCAAGATCAAAGACTCACCAGATAAGATTTCGAGTCTATTAAGGGCCATTGGCACATAATGATCTGGAGTGAGTAATAAATTCAAAAAAAAAAAGAGCAGATCTTTCATTTTGAAAGTTGGTTGTTGTTAATGATATTAGACTGTAAGTAGAAGACATCTTCACCTGACTTTTATGTATATCTATATTTTTATTTTTTTTTTTTTTATTTTTTTTTTTTGGCGGCAATTAGTCTTCGTCATCATTCATATCTGCAGGATGAATGACATGAAGCGTGCAAAAGTTGTCGCTCCTGCTGAACAAATCCTTTGGCATGGGGACATTTCAGCCATCCAATTGTTGTGGGATACAAGGACAGGCACAAGGTCACAGGCCCTTTCTCTACAGACTAAAAAAAGCATGCTCACGGTAATACAAAAAAAACCCCAACTCTACTCCTCACTCCTACTTTAACTCTCGTACTTCCTTCTCTTGCTTCTGTTCGCTACTCTTCTCTACTCTCTTCTTCGTCACCGCTTTACTTTTTTTTTTTTTCTTTATTTTTTATTTTTTTTTTGGATCTTTTTTTTTGGCATCCCTTCTTCCAGTCCACTTCTCATTAATCTATTCCTTGCCATGACTGATCTCAATAACACTAACGGTTCTCCTATTGATGGCGAAGACACTGAGGTTGTAGATGAGGGTAACCGTAGCATCCTCATGGACATCATCTCCCAGCTCAGCAAAGGCGGCGACCTTCATCGCGTTACTCTTCCAACCTTTGTTCTCGAACCCGTAGCATGTTGGAACGTATTACCGATTTCATGTCCCACCCTGAACTCATCATCAAGTAAGCTCGGAAACATTTTACCACACAATTAGACTTTTTTTTATTCTTAATTTTATAATGCAATTCGCATGTTGATGGCAATTTGCTGCATATTTATTTCTTTACTTTTGGCAACTATGGATGTGGGATTGCATTATTATCCCAAGATATTGATAACTATGAAGCTTTTTGACAACATGCTTTTTTTCTTTTTGTCCCAATATCTTGGCCTCCCCCGCCCCTTTTTCTCTATTTTATTTTATTTTAAGCAATTATGGTTGTACAGTTTACTTTGGATAGTGATTGCTTACTTTGTTCAATTTTTCCATTGCGACTCTAGAGCCAACCAACTTGAGGATCCTGTGGAGAGATTTGTATCCGTGACCGCTATTTCTTGTCAGGCTGGCACATTAAGCCCAAGGTAAGCTAGTGAAGTATTAGACAATCGCTTCAAGCGCGCAAAACGCAAGACATGGTGGTCTTTATAATTTTCTATTTTTTAGTTTAGTTTGTGTCTATCAAACATTCTCTAACTATTATTACTTCAATGTTTTTTTAGGGTGTGAAAAAGCCATATAACCCTATTCTAGGCGAACATTTCCGTGCAAAATGGGAATTCGCAGACGGTACAGAGGCATTTTATGTGGCAGAACAATTTCGCATCATCCTCCTATTTCGGTTTACTACTATGCCAGCCCAGAGAATAATCTCAGGATTGTTGGTGATCTTTTGCCTAAATCCAAATTTCTTGGCAACAGCGCGGCAACGTTAATGCAGGGTGAGATTAATGTCTCATTTACGAACCGTCCTGGCGAGGAATACCTCATTACTATGCCAAATGTCTATGCTAGGGGTATTTTGTTTGGTACGATGTTGATGGAGTTAGGAGACGTTGCAACTGTAAAGTGTTCGAAATTAGATCTTATTTGCTCTCTTGAGTTTAAAGTGAAGGTACGCAGCTTAGTGTTTCATGATACTAATCGCTCCGAGATAACTAGAGAGGATAGCTTGGAACTTGTCGACTTAAAGGTCATATATCAATGTTTTTAGGGGTACTTCACGGGCTCTTACAATGGCATCTCAGGAAAAATCAAACGCATCTCCACAGGGGAGGTTCTTTATGAAATTTCTGGAAAGTGGTCCAACGAAATCTATATTTCTAAGAAGGTACAAGAATAAGAATGAAGCAAAGGATAAAAGTTTTTTTTTTTTTTTTTTTTTTTGCGGGCCTTTATAGATCTTTTATCGTACTAAGTTACTTTATATGGCATAATAGGGCAACAATAAGGAGGTTTATTTTGATGTTAAGACAGCCAGAATCCATCCAAAGATCGTCGCGCCTGAAGATCAACAAGAGTGGAACGAATCGCGTCGCCTTTGGAGCAAACTGACTGCAGCTCTAAAAGTTAATAACCAATCACTGGCAACAGAGGAGAAAAGCAAGGTCGAGGACGCCCAACGACTCAAATCAAGGGAGCGCGAAGAGAAGGGAACCACGCATGTTTCCAGATATTTTGAGCCGAATGGTGACGGATTCGACCTTAGACTGAAAAAGTAAGTTCAAATTGAACTGGAGCTGTCATCCATTACACTCAGCGTCCAACGACAATACAGAGTGTTCGTATTCAACATGCCTTTTTTCTTCTGTTCTATCTATTATTATTATTAGTATATCATCTGATCCGCAGGTGGCCAAGTCGCAGATTGAGAACTTTATTTTCAATACGCCTGCGCCTCCATCTTAATGAATAATAACCTACAGCCTGCTCGGTATAGTTGATCTAATAAAGAGCAGACGTTGATACAGAGCAAAGAGAGTGAATTCGAGCTAGAGCTTTAGAACTATAGTATATATGAGTGTTGCGAAAAGATCAATATATTTTTCGAATTCATTTATTATTATACAGAGGAAGGACATTTATTATTGTAGTGGAATGCTTTGTGGAAATCGGAAGACGTTTGTAGGGTCTGTTGCGGCTTTAATCTGTTTTAGACGAGGAAGGGCCGAGCCATAGTAGGCTTCCTGCCAGTTTGGAATGGTTTTATCAATATAATTTTGGTAGCCACGAACAGGGCCATAGTTGGTAGTGTAGTCAGCCAAGAACTCACTGTACATGTCGTTCATCCACTTGAGGCAATCTTGGCAGTCGGGTTTGCCTGGTTTCGCATCCGGGTTCCCATCCCATTCGACTACGAATTCGAGACAGTATGCGAGTCACGGTGGACGAATGATGTTGCATCCACAGGAGTATCTGGGATAGCTCCTCCCAAATATCAACGATGATATAGTTGGCAGTTGAACCGATGGGTTTTCTTGCAGCCCATTTCCCAAGAAGGCCAATGGTCGAGTCTGTCAAAGGTTTGGAATAGACTAGAGATTTGCCATTCGTATAGTGCGAATCACCAGCCTTATAAGGACCTTTCAAACCCAGAGCATTGATATCTTTAGGGTCGCCGGCAACGTATGCAAAACGTAAATTAGCGTCAATTTGGCGTCCCTCTTGTACTTCTGCGGATAATGGTTTTGGTGCTGTGCTAAAGAAAGAAGAGAGAGCAGCGTCCATTTGTGCTCGCGCGCCTTGGAAGATGCCATATAACTCTAGTCCATCAGGCGAGATATTCATCTCTACACCAACATCTCGTGAAGCCGTGGCTTGAAAATTGACATAGGCGCGCAAAACGCTAGCATGGCTCGCCATGCCCCAACTGAAAGAGAAGTAGGTGACCACAGGAGGAGGTTTGATAGGCTGGATAGTGAACGAAGTAACAACACCATAGGAGCCTCCTCCTGCCCCTCGTAGTGCGTAAAATAAATCCGGATTTTGTGTTGCTGAAGCGAGTAGCAGATTTCCGTTGGCATCGACCATCTCCATCTCAACAATGCGATCAATTAACAGGCCATATTTGCGAGATAGCAGTCCAAATCCACCTCCGAGTGCATGACCACCAATTCCTACACTAGGACATGTGCCAGCATTGATCGTCCAGCCGCCTTTATTGAAGAGCTCCAGATAGAGTGGGCCCAAGCGAATTCTGAACCAACTTTGAATGTGGTGCCGGTCGCAAGTAACAGAAGACAGCCCAGAAAGATCGACCACCAAAGATCCATCCTGCGCCAATGCAATAGCCTTCAAATGAATGACCTCCAGATCGAGGCGCTACAGCAATATTAGCAGCTTTTGCGCACTTGACTGCTGTTTGAAACATCGGATGCAGAAATGCCATAACGATGATCTGGGGGTTGAAAGTGTAGCGAAGATCGAACGCATATCTGTTGTTCTCAAAGGCAGTGGTCTTGCGCTCCAGAACTTTGGAGCCTAAAGGTTTGAGACAAGTGGCTAATGATGTACTCTGTGCAGTGGGTGTAATATCCTGTCTATCAACCACATCATTACTGTTTGTGAGGTAGTATCCAAAAGAGCTTTGGCAGAGATATAGGATCAAAGCGGTTTTGACGTTGGTTCTGTGAAATCGCATTATATGTTTGAGAGAAAGAAAAAAAAAGGATGAAGTAGTAAAGATGTGGCTAAGAGATCAATGCATATAATGAAAAGATGAGAAAAGAAATGGATAAGGAAGAAGAGAAGAGGAAGAAAAAAAAAAAAAAAAAAAAAAAAGAAGAGGAAGAGGAAGAGGAGGAAGGAAGAGGTGAGGCGGGAGGAAGAGAGGAAAGAAAAAGGGAAGAAAAGGAGAGAGGAATTGCTGTTTAAAAAAAAATCTCAGGTACTAACAAATCTTGGAAATACCAGGGGTAGGGGCGTTGATGCTGTCTCGGGGATAAATTAGGTTGTGCAACATGAGCAAGGTGCTTATTGGCTGCTTTTTCAATCTTACAAGACATTTGTATAAATATGTAATGTATATACTAAGCATTGACCCACACAGTCATCTTCCCACACAGGATTATTGACAAATACTTTATTGGCAATGCTCATGAGGGTGATTAATATCTCCGTTCTCTAGGTTAGAAGCACCAAAATCACATTCCATCAGGGGCACAACTTTGGTTTTATAGTAAATTTTGTAGCCAAGGTACATGCACAAGAAGAAGGGGAGACCGATATAGCACGCTACAGATTAGAGACTTGTGGATTAGGCTTACTTAACTCGGAATATCCCTGGCCTAATACTACAACCATACACAGCAGCAACGCATATAGTGGTCCAAATGGAAACATGGCAGCCCTGTATGGTAAGTGCGAAATGTCACCACCTTGTGCGATATATGCACGTCGAAAACGGAAGTGTGAGAGTGCAATCCCCAACCACGCAATGAATCCTGCAACAGAAGAGATGTTGAGGAGCCAATAGTAAACTTCTCCCGAGCCCAGGAGCGATGCACCAAAGCATAAAGCTGAGACAACAGTCGTGCAGACGAGGGCATGCATAGGAATACCACGGGAATTGACTCGGCTAAAAAAAGCCGGGGGCCTTTCCATCACGAGCTAGCATCAGTAGCGTACGCGTAGATGCGACATACCCGAGTTGCCTGCTGACATGACTGTAATCAAAATGACAGCATTCATAATATGGGATGCAGGCTTAAGGCTTTTTGAAGTACAAGTGTGATGGAAGACAGCAACAGCAGTCTTGCGCGACATCACACTGTTGAGAAGATTAGGGTCGTCGTAGGGAATAATTAGCCCAATAATGTATAGATATGAATAACGAAACGCGTGATGCGCCAAAAACCTGCTTAATGGCCTTAGGGACATTCTTGCGTGGGTTTTCGCTTTCTCCAGCTGCAACACCAACCAACTCTGTCCCCTGGAAAGAGAAACCAGCGATCAAAAACACAGAGAGGATACCTCCAAACCCATTGACCACTGGTGCACCTGGTAGTGTCCAGTTGCGGAATCCGATTCTATCCCCTCCAACCACTCCAGCATCTACCAGGATCCCGACAATAATAAAGATGATGACAGTGAGGACCTTGATAATGCTGAACCAGTATTCGCTCGCCATATGCACGGACTGAGATAATATTAACAAAAACCATGAACGCCAAAAAGATTATGCTCCAAACCCAGGCTGGCAGCGCGTCAGATGAGACCCAGAACTGAAGAATTAATGCTGCAGCTGCGATCTCGGCAGCCACTGTCACTGCCCAACCAAAAAAGTAGTTTGATGCCCAAGGCTAAAAAAATACACATTGGTAAACAAATATAAATATGTGATATTAGTTTCACTCTTAAAGTTGGTATGTTCAAGAACGACGTTAAAAAGGATTATGTCCTCCTTGACTAACCAAATCCAAGTGCTGGGTCCACAAAACAGGTAGCATAAGTGGTGAAGGAGCCGGCGGTAGGAATCAGCGTTGCCATCTCACCGAGAGAAGTCATTAGAAAGAATACCATTGATCCGATCATGATGTAGGCAATCAAGGCTCCCAGAGGTCCAGCCTGTGCGATGGATGACCCTGAAGCCAAGAATAACCCTTTCCAACTGAGCCAGCGATCGAAATCATGGAGAATGTCGTGCTTTGAGCCCACGCTTGAGCTCGTTATCTTTTGGAGGAATTGGCTGCTGATCGGATCGGAAGCTTGGCAATTTGGCGATGGTATCAACCTTTTCATTAGATCGAGAAGACCAAGAAGAAGCCCTTGAAGGCATTCCAACCGTCTCAATACTGTTGTCTCTTGTTATGTTGCTTGGCTTTTTTTTTTTTTTTTTTTTTTTTTTAATAAATATATACAAAAAGGGAAGAGTACGAAGTAAATTTTATATTGAAGAATTCAATTTCTGATAATCTGTATAGGGTTTTTTTTCTAGTGTTTTTATGGGTATATCAAGGAATAATGAATAATTGATGAGGATGAACGGAGAAAAGAAGGGAAGAAAGGAGTAAAAAGCAAACCCTGTCCGCTTACTGAATTGGTATTTTGAAATTATGTGGTCACAAACCTTGTTTCTTTTATTGAATCACAAAGAAAAGTAATATAAAAAATTGACAAAATATATAGAATGTGATCTCCAGCGTGATTTAGCCTGAATACCGTTTTTGTGTAGATGTGTAAATTTGGAAAGGCCATCGCATATGACTTGCACTAATGGAGAGGGATAAGCAAACATTTTTCTTAACTTGTTTTATCACTTCTCCCTTCACCCACCCCTTCATTCCCCACCACTCAGCATTAAATAACATGGAAGCGCTATTCACATCTAATGCAACCAATGCACAGAATAGTTAGGAAGTCCTCTTCAAGGTAGCCTATCGCTCTCTATCGCTGGCGGACTAAGGCTGGTTTGGTGAGCACATTCGTTATTCAGCATTATATTATATACAAACAATAGTCGTCGCTTGCTGTTGATCCTTTAAAGAAAGAAAACCAAATAATAACTCTTGAACTCTTGAAATTATAATTAGAATCACCACAGAATGTTGGTCAGTATTTAGGACAACAGTTAGATTCACACATACACATGCCCCAACTCCAAAATCAAATTCAATTTCAGGTACAATTCCAAGATCAATTCCAATTTCAGGAACAAGGACTTCAAAGCCAAAAGCGGCATATAACGCTACAAGAAAACCCGGCAACTCCTAAACGACGCAAAGGTCAACCTATAGCAGCTGCGAGCAGAGCTGATGTTGTTGCATCCATGGCGAACAAGACAGCATATGCCACCCATAACAAAATAGCTTGTACGTTGGTCCTACAGGAGGCAGCTAAGGATCGTGAAAAATCCCTAGCACGTCGAACAGTGTATCATTATCAACAATACCAACGGCATTGGGTGGTGCGTGAGCTTATTTGAATAGTAGTTGAGCAATGCAAAAAATAATGTTTATTGGTAGCAATTAATTGATCCAATATATATAGGATTGGTGCGAGCGTAAGCATTTCATGGATGGAGACATGGTCACATACGAGAAATTCTTACTCTATGTGCGTGAACTTGTGGCAGAAGAATCAGTACAGGCGGAGGACGACTTCTATAGCATCAAGCCATTGCGTGTCAACGTCACAATAGATTATGAAGGTGATCTCCCTTCTCCAGAGACAGTTGATGCATATGTCAAGTCGGTCATATCGCTCTATCAGTCTCAGCGAGCATTAGTTCCCAACCCTAGCAACCAGCCATGGGCAAGTCTACGTACAGCCGAGTTCAGAGGGATCATTTCATCATACAGAAAAAGGTAGGAGTAGACAGCAGCATAATGTAGTATTATTTAACTTTGAGGCCTGAAAATTGAAGGAGTGGATGTTGTTTTAAAACATATAATATTGCATATTGCTAATTGCCCTAATTGCTGTTCTGCAGGTATCAACAAAGCAATAAATTCAAGAACCAATATCGAATGTCGGTCGACAATGCATACACACCAGCTCAACTCAAGCAGTTCTTGAAACTTTGTTGGACTCGATCTTACAAACCTCTGAATGGTGGAGCTAAGACTCACAAGCTGCTTGGGGCTCGCGACCGAGTTAGCTTTGCCTTGAATCATTTTTTGATTGCTCGTGGCCAAAATTTACTTGATGCGAAATTGAGTAGCCTGTTCCCACATATCCATGCAACGGCTGAGAATGGGCGCCAGCTTTCTTTTGCCCTTGTTCTTGAGATTACACATGGCAAGACAAATCAGGACTTCACTATCTATTCGTCTTGTATTCGCAATAAAGATGTTGAGCTGTGTCCTTTAGGTGCCTTAGGATTTTATCTATTAGAGCTATGGATGGTTAGTTCCTGATACTTTTTCTGTTTAATGTTTCGGGGCTGTACCGACATTCGATTGCTCACATCTATTATTATTCGTAACTTTTGACTGTAGGACAAAAAAAACGTTCCTGACTTTCATGACGACAAATGGATGGAAACTTTCCTCATTTTCGGCGCTTCTGATAGAACCCGTATGTCCTCAACCTCACTCTACAAGTAAGTACAGGGTATACATGGCTTTGTATGGTAGTGCAATAGTAATTGATGGATTGACGCTTCCTCGCGACTTCTTGCTCTTAGGGCTATGAAAGGGGTTATGAATAAGGCAGGCCATCATAGTGATAAAGTTACTCATGCGGGCCGCAAAGCTGGAGCACAACACGCGATGCTCAATGGATCATCGCATGACCAGATATCTCAGCAAGGCAATTGGCTTCATTCTCGCTTGGCGATCCATTACCTACATCCAGTTCCAAGAGCTGTTCCGTATTCGATGGCAGGCTTCACGCGAACTGATGAGGAATTCTGGCTTCCTCGCAACACACTTATTCCTGATCCCAAACTTCAGAGAATGATTTTTCCTTTCATTGAGAACCTGTTTGAAGGAAACAAAGACTGGGAGCAGCGCATTGAGAATATCATGATGGACCGCCCCGAGGACTACAATCGACCCCTTTTGGAACAAACAAGCCATTGCAAGGAGGAAATACCAAAAATACGCTTTAATATTATTCTTGCTCATTTTCGGAAGATTATTCTTCAGGATATGGCTGTACTTATGGAAATTACCGACAATGCTAATTGCTATTACCAGATTTACCGGATGCACCATATCTGCCAGATGCCAGTCTTTCAATCGCCAGAGTTCGGAGAGTTTAGTGCAAAGTTGCGCCAAACAATGAGTGAGGCAAGATCTCCCTCGATGGATAGCCTTGCAGCAAACGCTCCCGCAATAGCACAGAAACTTGATGTTTTAGGAGCACAGCTTTCAGCTCTTGATGACTTCATACGATCACGAGAACGCGTTGATACATCTAACTGTAACTTGACTTCTTCATTCAGGACGCATATGTCAAGTGTCAATCGTCAGCTAGTGGCACTCTCTCAAGGGATGAGGGGGCCTTCAATGGTGCAGGAAGAACTATAGGCCACACTGTATCTGAGATCAAATCAATCCAAAGAGAGCAAATACGAGAGTTCGATCTCCAGATACAGCAGGGATGTGGAGCAGGACAGAGGAGCCCATTCACCCCGGAGCAAGGGCACACAGACGGGCACCTGGTTAGCCATGAGCCGGCTCATGAGCAAGCGAGCGTTACCAACACCTCTTCACCTTTACAAGGCGAGGATTCATTCTTCAATGAAGTAGACGGAGCGAGAGAAAGAGAAGAAGAAGTAGTTGTAGAACAAAGACAAGCTCACTCTCAATCTCAACCTCAATCTCAGTCTGGTATGCAAGGTAGAGTTGATTTGGACCAGTTGGCAGAACAGATCGCCATGCTCTACGTTCAGATTGGAACAACCCTGTCCTCGCACGAAATGCTTCCGCAAGCAGCGCTTCTCAAGGATCAATGGAAGGAATGGTTCCATGGTGTCGATGGACGGCCCTCGATCTGGGCTTTGAATAAGAGCTCTGACCAAAAAAGAGCAAAATGGCGTTCAGGATTCGATGCACAGAAAAGGAAGTTGTATCAATTCAAGAAGGAACTAATTGAGGCTGTGCTAGAAGAGATATCAAAATCAACATGCATGACGTTAGTGGAAAAGGAAGCTGATGCCCTGACGTCAGTTTCCAAGGCTATCATCAACGCTGGCTCCAACAATTCCTACATTAAGATGCGTCGAGCACAAAGAAAAAAAGCTTTTAAGTAATGTGTTTATACATATATTTCTTTAAAATAAAAATAAACCACACCGTTGAAGGCGTTTCGTTAGACACTTCTAAAGTGTCACTCCATTTTACTTGAAAGCTTCCAACTGATGATATTGGAATATTATTTATTACAAAACTGCTGTATGCTATTTTAAGCGGATATCATTGTGTTGTTGTTATTGGTGTTGTTATCGTTGCTGTTGATGACTGATCAAATTTTGATTTTTTGGTTGCTGGGGAGTCAGATTCGATGTTGAAACTACCTCTCGTGCTCATTTCATTCTTCATTAATTCGAAAAGAGTAAGGACATAGCCAAATATAAGCTTGCATCTGTCTCTCACGTCTTCCATTTCTCCTATCACTTCTAAAGATTTAGTCAGTTCCAACCTTCGGTATTTTAGCGTGCCATTTTCCAATGTAGATTCAACAAATGCCCATTGAAATGAGTTGGTTACGATTCCATAAGCCCTAAGGGCTCTAGGGCAATCTCCATCCTCTCAGTTCGTTTTCGTTTCCTATTGTGCAAGGCTACATCGAGCTGTACCATATTTTGTGCAAGGCCTTGCACATGATCGTCCTTCTTCACTTCCGTAATGCCAAGAAATTGTCCCGAATTGATACAGTCAACAACAGCAAAGTCCAAAGTCCCATAGCCGCGCGTGCCTTTCAAAGACTGTTGTTGCGAAAGGATCATGTCGGGCGCATAGAGCGATACTGCTCCAACCATGAATGCATCGACAATTGTTGATCTTGTAGCCTCATTTGATTGTGCATTAAATGCATAGGCTCTACCTTTGCGAATGCAATCGTCCACAATATGTCCCAATATTGTCTCTTCAGCTTCTGTCAAGTCCTCCTTGGGCTTGAGATCAAATTTTGGTAGATCAATGAACGATTGTAATTTATACGTGTCTTGAACTTTTTTCCAGTCCCATGACGAAAAACTAATGGCTGGGGTAGCCAAAGATATAATGAGCCTTTTCCACTTTTTTTGCTGAAGTTTTTCCAAGATAGAACGAAATTGAATGTCGTCTCTCAACAACGGAAATGTCTTCGTTTCCTCATCGTACACAAATA